GAGCGGAGCCCCACCCCCCCGGCAAGGCGGCGGGTGCCGCTTGCCCCGGCGTGCCCGTCTGCGCGGCGGCGGCGGCGGAGCGGCGCGGGAGGGTGGGCGAGCGGCGTGGAGAATGGAGACGCCCGACAACATCCTCGGGGCCGTGTGACGGCGAACGGCGCTCACACGCGAGAACGCACCCACCGGCCGGGAGCCGGAGCCGGAGCCGGAGCCGGAGCCGGTGCAGAGCCGGGCAGCGCCACCCTGCCCCGTCCCGCGGGGAGCCGGCATGGAGTGAGAGCAGCGTGCCGCCGCCAGGTAAGGCGGGGAGGGTTCCCCGAAGGGAGGCGGAGGAGGTCGCTGGCTCGGGGCTTGCGTTTTGGTGCCTGTGCCCTTACGGCTCGTTGCCGCCGCGTTTTCTCCAGCCCCTTCCCCCCAGAAACGCCCTTCCTCAAGCCCCCCCTCCGGCAGCCACAGCGGAGGTGCCGGGGGATACGGGGTGCGTTCCTTATGTAACCGGGGGACCAGTAGCCTCGGCCGCTTTCCGCTGGGCAAGCGGAGAGCTGGCGGAGGGGGAGCCGCGGTCGAGGGGGGACACGGCGGGGGCACCGGGCCGACCCCGAGGGACCCCGTTTTCAGCTGCCGTCGCGGGAGCCTCCCGCGTAGGAGTCCCGGCCCCACGCCCTCGAGCAAAGAGCTGTCGCTGCGACGGGGCCGGGGCTGCCCCGGCCTCCCCTTGCTTAGGGGCTTGACAGCGGGTACCCGCGGGCGGGGGGGACCAGGGACGACGTCCCGGCCGGCCGCCCTCTCCCCAGAGGCGCTCCAGCGGCAGCGCCGAAGCCGGGAAGAACTTCAAAGCGAGGGTGGAGGGGGATGCTGTTTTGGCTGCTCTTGTCTCACTCCTCCTCTGGGAGGGCAGCGAGGGGCGGCTGCGCTGCGGGGAGCTGGGGTCTCTCTGGGCTGAGACGGGGAGTGCTGAGGGCAGTTAGGGCGAGGCTGAGGGGAACCGGGGTAGCGCTGAGGGCAGCCGGGACCAGGCTGAGGGGAACCGGAGCAAGGTTGAGGGAACGGCGCGGCCCCGGCCCCGCTGGGCAGGCAGGAAGGGGAAAGAGTCTCCGTCGGGGGAGAGTGGCAGCGAGAGGATGGGAGGGAAGAGGGTGCTGCTCGCGAAGGGGTGCCCGTCTCCTCTTGATTTAAGGGAGAGCGAGCTCGGTATCACCATGGCGACCTGAGGGAGGAAAGAGCTAAATAAATAAATAAGTAGGAGATAACTCCCCCCTTCCCCTCCCCCGGCCACCGCCGCTGCGCCTTCCCGGCCAGGTCCGGTTCCAGAGGTGGAGAGAAAGATACCACAGACAAAACTTTCCTCTCTTGGTAAAAAGGGTCGGCGAAGAGCCGGAAGACCTTGGTGGGGAAGGGGCCGCCCCACCCGGCTCAGCGAGCCGCGGTTGCGGCGAGCCGGGTGCCCCCGAATAGCCGTGCCGGGAGCCTCTTCTCCAGCCGCGACGGGAGAAGGAAACTGCTTCGGGGCGAGCTCCTCACGGCTGCTTATTGCTGCGCCAGTCGTGCCCCCGCAGCCGCCCGCTCCCCGGCTCCCCGGCCGCTCGGCGCACCCCCAGCCCCCGGGCGCTGGTGCCGCCCGCTGTGGGGCCGGCCCGGCCCCGCTTCAGCACCGCGGACAGCGGCAGCACCGCTGCCTTCAGCACCCTGGTCAGTGGCGGGGCGGTGGGAGCGCGGCCGGAGCGCGGCTCCCGGCGGAGGGCAGGGAGCCGAAGGGAGCTTTGGATGGGGGCCCGGGGCTGGGAGGACCGGGAGAACCCCCCGCCGGTGTCCCCGGGCCAAAACCGGCTGCTCTGCTCTGCTAGAGCCAGCCCCGGGCACAGCGCCGCACCCCGCCGGGAGCCGGGGGACACCTCACCTAGGTCCGCTAAAGTTTCCTCAGCCAAACGCACGCAGGAGCTGGGAGCAAACACCTTAACAAATGACATCTTTTAAGCGAACTTGCTCGAGGTTGTTTCTTATGACTCTTTTGCAGTGGTTCTCGGTAGCTTGTTATGGCTAACTGATTCCCCAGCAGGACCGTTCACACGCCTGTCATCCATAACACGAGTCCTGCAGAAATTGTGTTCTCAACTCGTTTTCCTTAAGAAATCTTGTTGAGAAATTGCATTTAAAGAAATTGCACTTTTAGCTTGGGGAGCTATCCCACTGCTGAGCTGCACAGTTACACAGGTGGAATTTGTGCCAGTCAGACACACACGATCAACTACTCAGAAAAACACTTCCTTATCAAGAACTGCTCCCCTCAGACATTGGATGACTAGTTTTAAGAAATACACAAAGTGGGTGAAAAAAGTATTCAGATTGGTGATAATTCACCAAAAGCCAAGAGATATTTATTGCACTGATAGGTTGTAAATTATTGGCTAAGTTTTCCTATACATATCTCATGCTAGTAGTTACATATGCAATTATTGCTTCAGACTATGAAAAAAATATTCTAGAAAAGCAAACAGCATAATGAATAATATTCACTGGGGAAGATAGAGATGGATTAGTCACTTTTGTGCTGTTCACTGTGTCAGGATGTTCTTTTTTCATTAAGTAAACAAGATTTATTTAATCTTAGCTTGGTCCTGATAGGCAGTAAACTATAGATACATGTAGAATTATTGGGTTTCAATCTAAATTCCCAGCCTCTTGAGGTTATGCTTTACCTATAATCAAGCTGTCAAATCAAACCAGCTACTGGGTTAATTTTTTGCCAGTGTTCCTTTGTTGTAAATTGTCTGTTTCAAGTAAATCCTAGCCTAGCAGAGACAGCCACATAGCTGAGTCCTATTCATGCATAGGACTTAGTCAAGCCTTGTACTTATACGGGGCCTCTAAGCAAATTCATGTCTGAGAATAACAAGTCAAGTCTTTTTAACTGTAGATCCACATTTTGCCGTAACTACACCTCTTGACAAGCCAAGTGAACTAATGAGTTAAGCCTTTATGGAAATGGAGATCTGAATTTCTTAATGATGAGCCTCACATTTTCAGACCTATCTCATAGGGAGTATGAAAATAAAGGACTGAACTCTAAGTATGGTCTTGGGAACTCATTACTTTCCTGTGGGAAAACGAGGAGAAGTATTATAATACAGCTCTTTGGTGAAGTTACCAGATCATTTATAATACTTCAAGCCATTGATTTTGTTATGTAAGGCAATACTCCTGCAGTGTCAGAATGATTTTATTAGATAATTACAAAATGATTCTTTCCCTATAAGCAATATAAGAAAAAAATTAATTATAGGAACATCAACAGAAAATCCCACAACCTTGATCAATTTTGGGGAAAGACAGAATTCTTTGTGGAATTTCTGCCAGTGCATTTACACCATGTTCAATATGAGCTTCCCAAGATATGTAATTTCACTGCAAAAAATACTTGTTTTTCATAAGCATGCATTTGTAGCCTTGTTTATTCATTTTATTGAAACATTGAAACATTATTTTGAAAGGAAGACAGTTCTCTCCTTCGAATTATGCAAGAGAAATAGAATTTAAATTACATTTTCATAAAATATCAATCACAAGGGATTTATTCAAATATTTCACATTTATAAGCTCTATAATGTTCTTTCTTTCACCTATAAAATATCAGAAACTCTGGACGCTGCTGGCGTAAGATTACTGGTTTTGTCATGATCTTCTGATGGTATTTTCACATATACAGATAGACTTTCATTCAGGAGTTATTTATATGCTTCTTTAAAAATAATAAGTAAAACAACTCATGATTAGCATTCTCCCAAATAAATTAAACTATGTCTTAAGTAATAGGTGTTGAAGCATCATAGAAAACACATTTCTATTTTATTATTTCTTTTATTTTCATTGTTGTTAAAAGCTTGGGAGCTCTGTTCAGTGTTTTAATCATCTGCTTGCTACATAATGTTGCTTTTTAATTGGGACAATTAAACACTGGCAGTTTTTAAAAAGAGCTATGGTTTAGGTTAATGTGTTTGTTACATTTATGTGGATGTACAATTTTTACTGGTGGAGGCAGTTTGATGCTAGAAAACAACATTCCTAGTATATTTGGTATCTATAGTTAAATACTGATCATTCAGAAAGAGAATGATGCTTCTTAAACAATGAACACTGAATTTATGAAACAGTAAACCCAAGAAGAGAGTTTTAATCTCATTCCCACTCGATGGTGACTTCCTGGAAGATTTTTTTTGGTGTTCCAAATTTTATTATATGTATCTTATAAATAACTAGAATAAAAGTATTGAACAATAGGAGGTTACTAACTCTACTTTTTCATACACCTCTGCCATTTTTAATTATGGCCAAGGATGCTGGCTGTCATGGAATCCTTAAGCCTTCTGGCAAAGCCTCATGACAGTGTTGTGGACCCTCTGTCAAAAGGGCAGCCCACACCAGGCCATCCCAACCCAGCATACTGCAGGAGGTGATGGAAGCAGTCCTGGCCGTGCAGGGGCTGGAGGAGAAAAACCTCTGTCGTCAAAACTCAAGTGCAGAGACTGGAATTTTTCAGTCATATACATTAGTACGGCAGCCGCAAAGGCATCGCTCTGCAGATATGAATCATGTCCATAGGAGGCTCAGAGCACCATCCTCATTTAACTCGTCACCTATGATCTGCCTAGTAGAATATCATACAGGGCCAAGGGAATTTGACAACTAAGGAAACACATCTTGTTCATATTTTAAAGGCTCATTAAAATGGATTTTTACTAGCTAGTAACACGCACTCTATTCATGAGCTTTTACATATGGCCATCAGAACATCCTGTTTTCAGATACAGGGGAAAAAAACCATGAATTTTAAAGTTCTTAAAAGATACACAGTTTCTACTAGTAGTTCATGCAAATGAACCCTCAGAGTCACACAATGCCCACTAAAATCACGAGGATCTGCTTGAGTGCAAGGACTGTACACGGTCCTGACTGCAGAAGTCCAAATTCATGCCAGAGGTTGCAGAAGAAGCTCTAACATAACTGAGAAGAAGCTCTAACATAACTGAGAAGAACTCTAACAGGAGTTTGCTCTGGAGTATGAGTCAATAGAGTTCTGAATTAAAAACATAACTAAAAGTTGAAAGCCCATTGATTCCCTGCTTCTGTTTGCCAGTTACAACTTCAGGTTAGCCATTGATGGCATCTGGGTATGAGGTACAGCATGGTATTGCTGGTACATGCATCCACAAGAATAGAAGTCATGCTTTTACTGTAGGTCTAACTGACAATAAGATGCCCTCAGAAGACACATTGCCTTATTAATATTGTTGGTACAAGCA